CACTGCAGTGGTAGGTAAGCATGGTAGCCACTGCTCTACTCAGAAACAACTACTCCAAAATACATCAGCATCAACTGAGTATTATGGCATTTTCCAGGTATAAAACATCCCAGTGTATAATGATGCTTATTTCTTGTATAAACCAAAAAGTAAGAAATACAAAATTATGTGTAGACTATCCAAAATTTCACAAACTTAAAAGAAAATCCATCACCTTATACATGGAAAAATACGTGACATTCATCCATTGTCTTGCTGTGCCATTATATGGCAGTTGGAGCTGGCTGTCCATATTTCCTCCACTCCGTTTATTCCTGCAATCAATTTAATATCATGGATCAAACTCAGTCCAGCATCTCAGGCCTCTCCCATCAAAAGTTTGTTTTAGGGTTTCTTTTAAGCATCCTGGCTTCCACAGTCCCTTACTGAGCATTATACAGCAGCCATACAACCCATGATACCTGGACACATACACATAGTGAATGACCATACTAGTAATTCCTGTAAAAAATAAACTTGCTATGCGAAGAAAAGAAGAAATAAACCATTCAAAACTTAGAGAAAAATGTAGGATGAGCTTTCAACAAGTAATACAAATCTGTTACAAAGAAATGACTGATAACATCAAATATAATTGAGACAAATAACTGGCATAATTTTGAAAAGAATTAATTGGGCCACCACTGGTTCATGGTAATGCATCTAGGTGTATTGATGTAACAGCTTGGAGCTCCCTGTGTCAGTGTTGAGGTCAAAGGTGACATGTATTCATCCTTCGATATCTGTAAAAGTTTATTAAATTTGATATGCAAGTTTTACTCTTTTTTTGTTGTTGCTGAAGTGTGATTACCCTGTGTTGGCACAGTGAGAGTGCTTGTGGGTGTATAACAGGGGAAAATATAAACTGTGGGGAGATTATATATTAATAACTATACTGTTTAAAACAACATAAACTATTTGATGATGCATTTGATTAGTTCACAAGTTATCCATGTGCTGCTATTTGGTAGTGTCATCTAAACTACACATTTTAAGTTGCATGTGAGAATTTAAAATAAAACAGTAGGCAGCTGCTGTGGTGTAGCAGACAGTCACCCCATCTGTGGGCCAGAAGGTCATGAGTTGAAACCAGTTTATTTTAAAAATTTCCTTGGCTCCCAGGTGGACCCAGCCTAATAAAGAGTACCATGTAAAGTTCTGGGAAGTAAAGGCGGCTGGCACGATGCTGATCACATCATCCACAGAGTGCCGACCGGTCCATAAAATATGGGTCTAGCCCTATGTATCCAACACACCCAAGGGCGTGGAAAAGGGTCCTTTTTAGAATTAAACAAAAGAAAATACCTATATCTTCTTTGTGGCATTTTTGACATATAAGGCATTTACAAGTGATCTTCACTGCTGCTTTTCTGCCCGCGGTATCCCCTGTCAGTTTACACTTTTACATTTCCTCTTTTTCTCCAGGTTTCCTTAGTCTTCCTGTTTTTTAAAAATCTGTCACCGTTGCCAAAGTTTCATGAGGTATTCTGCAAACATGTCCAAGTCATTGTCCTCCACTAATGTTTAGCAAGGATAAACATTTTGTTTTTCTTCTGTTCTTCATTTGTGATCTTGTTTGGTTAACACATTTTCATAGGATTCTTCTCAGTTATTTAGTGTGAACATTTCCTAGTTTATATGTCACAGAATAAAAAAAAAAAAATCACCAGCCATAAAAATTTGTCTTCACCATTAGCAGTTAGAAAAATCGACTGAAAATAACGTGTCTACCGTACTTCAAGAGTTCAAACAAGATGGCCAAAGTTTAACACAACAAAAAGGGAGATGAGAATGTATCTGTATCGACTCATTCATTCTAAACACCCTTCCTTCCACACATGCCCATATGTACAGAAAGCTTCTGTTTTCACATCATAAGACCTACAGGGTATATGGTGCCAGCTTCCACATCTGTCAATAAAACAAAACTTGGGTGATATGGTTAATAACAAACCAACCACCTTTACTTCCCAAGAAATTTCTATTTTAGGTTGAATCAACCTGGGAGCAAAGGTATGTGAGAAATATAAATGTTAAGGGAATTAAGAAATATGGTCTGGAATCTGCAGGCCCGTTGGTCACTTCCCATGGGAGGAAAAGGGGGGGGGGGGGGGGGGGGGCTTATGAGAATAGGGAGCCCCTATGCTAGTCAGTGTATGTCAAGTAACTTGCTATCAATAAAAATCTTTCCTGTGAGTCATTGTTGTAGGGGCCCCAGCACACTGGTTTTCCCAGGGGCCTATAATGCAGTTAAGACAGCTCTGTAGTACACAACTAAAAATAGTACAACTTAAGATGATTGAATCTTCAGTTAGAGCTTTGATAAAACAAAATGTACATAATATACAGATCACTGACAAGTAAATAGTCATTGTTAACAATAATTTTAAAACACAAGCAACAATATTTCACCATGAATGTACAAAAAATGAGGTTTTGTAAATACAGTTTCAATATATCAAAGACATATTTATATTTAAGAAAATACACTCCCCATCTGTAATAAGCAACAATTTGCTACAACAAACATTAATTTAAAACTCATGATCATCATCATCATGTAGCAGGTCCTTTGCAGATCATCGCTCTCATCACAGTTTGCCTGAAAGAAACTTTCTTGCCAGCTCTCAAGTAGTCACTTTTTTCCTGTGCCCATCTTCGTGTTGGTCGGCCTCTGCCCCTCCTTCCTGGTACCATGCCTTCTGCTATTATCTTGTTCCAATTTGCCCTTGACAGGACCAAAATATTTCAGCTATCGAGTCAAGATACTGTTTATTTGCCAATCTTCCTTAATGTTCATATCTTTTAAAAAGTCAGTATTTCTTGTCTTCTTTGTCCATGATATTCTAAAGTGATGAGACAATTACATTTAACAGTTCAGGTATTCATATCTGACAGGTCATCTAGTGCAGTGTTCGTCAACCAGTTGATCCCTGGTGGTCTGCAAACATTTCCTGCCTAATCTCGTAACAGCTATCAGCTATATGATACTGGCACTAGACTGCTATTTAGATTCTGTAACTTCTAATCAGCAGCAGATGTTGCAGGAGAATTGTAATTTTGCAACATCAAATTTTACAGCCTAAGCTTTTCAGTCCCAATATGGGACGCAATTTCTCATTATTTTAAAGCCCCAGCCCAGCTCTAGTCGGGGGCCCTAATATAAACTAACAGTTGATCAGGGTTTTTGGGACAGGGTGATCCTCAACTGAATGGTGGCACCGGGTGTTGGTCGCTCGTTGTACAGTCCTGGTGGGGCTGAACGACACACACACACACACATCAGATTTAACAAGTATGCTACCATCTACATTTTTCAAAGCTTGTTAGGTGGTCAAATGTAAAAGTTTAAAGAACACTGATATATTGCATATGGTCATACTTCCAATGAGTTTTCAGTCACTCTGTAGCATTTCAAAGACTGGCAGAGGCAGCAATAAGGCAAGGCAGGTACAGACTTTACAATAGTCTATGTGACTAAAATCATGTATAGATATGTGTTTCTTATTTCCGGTCCTGTTGTTACTTACCTACCATGTGTCAGTAATATGAGAAGTATTTTTATTCAAATGTTCCGGAACGCTTTCATTGACATGCAAATGTTCTTTTATGCTGTTTGCCAGCACCTTTGTCCTCTCTCATCATCATTCTTCTCAAGGACATCCTTATTTCTCCAATCCGTTTTTCTCCCATTTAAGTGCCTGTTTAATCAGCAACTAGACTATATTTCATAAATAAATAGATTTGTCCTGTTGCCTAACTATTAAATATACAATTTTACTGCATCTGCAAACTGCAAAACTAATTTCAAAATGCATGCCTAAAACTCTCATTTCCACAAGCACACATGTGTAAACTCATTAAATGCATGCAAAACATTTTAAATGACAAGGGTACTGATAAATGCCTAATTTATATAAACCCATGTATGCAAAAACCCACCCATGCATATGCCATGTTTTTACATGTGGAATATCACAAGTAACTGTTGAATTCCCAGCAGATTCAACACATTCATATACAACAGTTCTTTGGCTTCCATTACTACATCAGGTATCAACATATTCTGACAGCATTCCACCCACACCCTAATGCTGTACCCTGTCAGTCACAATAGCTGCCTTTATGAAGAAAATAAATCTAGCTATCAACTAATCTTTCAGAATGCACACAGTCAGGCCTAGCTCCTTTCTTTATCTACACAAATAAACAACATGAGGCAGTCCAGAAACAATTACAATAGTGGTTGGAGAAAAAGAATTGGTGAACATTTTCTTATGGTGTCCAAAAATGCAAACAGAGATACAATTTTTTTCTAAAAAGAAATTTTTTTGGGAGGCCATATTGAGAGAACCATAGAAGTGGGAGAATAACATCAAAACAACTTGATTAACAGCAATGTCAAAGAGCGTAATTGCAAAGCAAGAATGTTGAAGATCCACTGCAGTGGATCCCAGCACACTCTGTTCAACCTCCCAAAAAAGTTATAATTAGGGCACATGTGATGGCTACACCAGCCAGATGTAACCTGCAGTCCTGTGTGGGTAAGGACAACTGCTAGGCTACATGTGAGGACAAACCATATGGTGACCTGAACAACCTCAGGCTGACATTGTGATCAACTGCCATGGATCTTTGACATTCTTATCTCTTCCAATGGGTGATGCGATCAATATCATGCTGGGAAGAAGTAGGGCAGCCACACTATAACAACATCGCTGTCAACAAACACTGAATCACAAATATGCCCCATAGCATATGTAACTGAAAACACAAAATTACTTTACTGACTGTTATGACCAACAACAGCAAAAGAGATTTAAACTGCCCAGGAAATCAATGGACCATTTACACAGGGAAAACATTTCCATTCACACCAAAAGACAAATGATAAGAAACCCCTGAGGCTTACTGAAACTTTGGTGGGCTGTGAATGTACATGTCTTAAATATCAGATCAGGTCAGCAATCAGAGGTAGCCACAGGTGATGGGGGTGGCGGGTAGGGGTTGAAAAAGCTTCTCTCTGTTGAAGGTGACGGCGGACAGCTAACCTCATCAGAGAAATAATGACTGTGTGGAGTGGGCGGCGGAGGGTACGGGTCTGAGTCATAGTTCAACTCCACCAGCGAGTTATTGAAATAGTATTTGAATTTTTTGGCATTTGATCTAGAGGATCTGGAGCGCGAGGACCGCCCGCTGTATTTATTGTTTGTTGGCGCAGAGCTGTTGAGGGGGATGGTCTGATGGTAAGGTTCACTGTCCTCGCAGACGTCGGTGGAGCACGGTGTGGTTGGGGGCGGAGGAATGTGATGATGGTGGTGGTGATGGTGACGCCGATGATGACTGCGCCGCCGCCCCCCTCTCCCCCCAGCACTGCCCATGCCCGACCTCTGCATCGAAGACGACAGACTGTTCAGTGACACGTACACATCCCCAGTCTGGGCTGTGTACACGGACCTGTCAGTAACTGGCGAGGGAGGCGGGTTCAGCGTCTCCTGAGGGTACTGAGTCACTGTAGAACTGCTGGATGATGCTCCAGTAACATGATTTCTGTCGTAAAAGGGCGGATCTGACTCGGACCCCATGGAAATACCTGTTGCTTCAGATTTGCTTTGAGACAAACTGTCATGCGGGCTCAAGCCCTCACATATCACTGTCACCTGTGGATTTAATGGCTTCTTGGCCACCAGCACATCTTCATCCACAGGAGCACTGCTAGACTTGTGCCGACACACTAAAATCAGAATAACAACAATCAACAAAAAGACCACCACTACCACAATAGCAATGGTGTAATCCTTGGGAGACTTGCCCCTCTCCGGGGTTTTCACCGGACAGGCCTGTCCATTAGCGTCCACACAGTCGGGCTGACCCGCGCAGTCAGCACACTCACAATTGCTCCCGGTACAACAATCAACCTCATCGGATCCGTCCACGCAGTTTTTCCGCCCATCACACTTGAGTTTCTTGTCTACACATTCCCCATTGGAGCAAGAAAACTGGTCGTTTGTGCATTTGACACAGTTCTCTTCGTCTGAATTATCCTCGCACTCAGAAGAGTAATCACACTTCCACACCATCGGAATACACTGGACGCTGCCACTGTGACACTTGAACTGGTCAGGAGCGCATGTGGGAGGTTCAGCACACGTCTGCTTATCACTTTTCAACACCAGATGAATGGGGCAGGAGCAGCGAGCTTTCTTGTCCTCGGTTATGAAGCAGATGTGTGAACATCCGCTGTTGTTGTTGTAACAGGGATGCCAGGCTGCTTGTAATGAATGCTCAACCGCTATTAGGTCGCTCAGACCTGGGGTTCGCCCCCGCACCCACAGACGTTTATTGCCAGTTTTCTTGTGTATCCTTTCCACAAAATTTTGCTCCTTTGCAAGCCAATAGAGAAACTTGCCGTAAACAGCCAGGCCCCGTGGATTTCCAACCTGTGGACAGAACAGACAAGAGTTTATAATCTGTTTACTTGTTGAAATCAGTTTTCTATCTAGATTAGCAACTACTACACAGTCTAACTTAAGGGTAGACAAGTAATGAAAACACATCAGAAAAAAAAATTATTTGGTGGGTTTGTTGTGTAAAAATGTGTTCATGAAGGTAAAACATGGTGGCATCCTACTCTACCAGAATGAAAAGCTGATTTGGTTTAATAAATGTTACTTTTCTCAGGAAATGAAAAACACCATTTTTATAAGAGTACCCCTGGGGGTTCCGGGGCTCCCCATGTGAGGAAAAAAAAAAAAAGACTCACTGATATCTAATGTCACAATTGCAAGTATGATAAAAATGTTGACTAATTAGGGGTGTTTCTTTGTAAGTCGCAGTGCATCTGCCTAAGAGGTGAGGAACCAGCAGTCTGCATACTAATAAGCCAGATCGGTAAAACAGATATGCATGCAAAATGAAAAGTATGGAACAAGATCAAAGCCCAGAAGTGGACAAACAACCAGAACACTGCTCCTGAGTTTACAGCTAGGGAGCACAAAGAAAAAGAAGAATTGAATTGAGCTGGCTGTTGAAGATGAGAAAAGAATGCTTATAGGAATGTGACCCGAGTGCTGTGAGGTCGGAACTCAACTCTTTAAAAGGAAAGGACTCTCAATTCATAAATCTTTGGACAACTAAGTGTATTCTTTAACACTTTGCAGCCCAGAGGTCTTCTATTTCCAAAAGTGTTGGCAAACTCCATGAAAAATCACTGCACATTTCTTTATGTTGCAAAATTCATACACAATTAAAGCAGACAAAGGATGATCAAATGAAATTTTCAGAACCTGAATAAATAGCTGCACTGTCTAAAGGTTTGAAAATGCGGGCCAGAATAGAAGGACCATTAATACAAATGCCAGGTGATCCACTTGCTAGGTCTCTGAAGACCAAGGTTGATCAAAGCTCAACTTACCTGCCCATCTACCAAGACCCGTCTGTTTCCTCCCATCAGATCTGACATTTCAATACGGTTGAGTTTTGAATCTGCCCAGTAGAGGTTGTCTTCTTTAGTGTCAATGGTCAGAGACTGCGGATGTACTAGAACATTCTTGAACAGAGTAGTTCTCTCTGAACCATCCATCAGAGCTGTCTCAATTTTTGGGGAGCTCACCATGTTGGTAAAGTACATTTTCCTGCAAATAGGAAACAAAACCAAAAAAATGATAACAACAGTATTTCCCTAAGTACAAGACATGCTTATTTTCCATAAATATATGGTATAAAAACAGTGTGCGCCTTATTTAAGTGGTAGTTCTTTAGATAGTTCTGTAGTCATGTGATGAGAAAAAGAGCATTGGAAAATATTGTGACGACTGAAAAGATCCCTGGTAGAAGAGGCAGACCAAGAGAAATGATGGTGGATGGAGTGAAATATATCCAGAACACCAGAGACTGAGATCTGTGGAGATGTATCAATGCCTAGGCCAGATGGCAAGGCACTTGATAATGATGATGAGCAGGTTCTATGTAATCATATCATTCTCCCCGTATACACGGGATCATCGTATACTTTGGGAAATACAGTTCTTCAACTGTAACTGATTATAATCACATCTGGTGTTGAAAATAAAATTAATTTAAACCACATGGACAAACAAAATATCAATTTACACTCAAACATGTGGCCAGGAGTGGTATAGTAGTTAGTAAGCTTGATTACCAACACAGATGTTTATCTTAAGCTTGTCGCACCGTATGAGTGGGCTTTGTGGCACTGGTGGCTTGATAACATGACATCTTTAGACAGTGACCGCTACATAAATGCTTTGATGTTGGGTGCAACTGCACAGTGTCCAAAAGTGGACGAACAACCACAAATTTTTTCCCAGAGCTTACTGCCGGTGAAGGCTAAAAAAGAAACATGGCATGCCAGAAAGCCACTCTATTTCTTACTAACTTTCTTGCCCATGGTGTCCTCAATACCACGTGTCCTCTGCTGTTGTGCTGGTCAAACGCTGTCTCTTCTTCCAGGAACCATATCCTCCATTAGTGATCTCTTCAAACCATTATGCTGTTTAATACGCTGTTATGGTTTACATACGAAAAAACGGAGTGCAAATAAAACTGGAGATACTGACCCTTTCTCTGGGTAGAGAACTATTGACCGTGGTTTAAAACCGCTGGCTGATGACAGAATGACACCAATGGGGGAGCGTGCCACATCAATCCGTGTCACGTTGATAACATTGTTAGATGTACAGGTCCAGTATAAAGTGCGGGCGTAAGGGTCGATAGCAATGTCATACGGCTGAAAGGCATTTTCAGGATCGTTCACAACTGTGCTAATCTGTGAAATGGAAACAAATCATGCAGGAATTTATTTTCTCAGAAAACGACAACAGGACTTTAAACAGTTATAACATGATCACTATTAAAGTTTGATTCTTTTTCTTCCCTGCGTTCACTGGCTGTAAACTCTGGTGAAAAGTTCAGGTTGTTCATCCACTTCTGGACTTTAGTCTTGTTTCAGAACTTGAGTTCTGTGTGCATATCCTATTACAGATCTGGCTTATCTGTGTTCAGAGTTTTGGTTTCTTGCCTCTCAGGCAAATGTACTTTGACTTCGAAGGAAACAGCCCGAATTAGTCGACTTTTACAACATGTTTGCTAGTGGGGCAGTTAGTCTTTTATCTGCAACCCCCCCCCCCCCCCCCCCCATGGGGCAACAGAACCCACAGAGGGATAAAGTCAGACTGATATGAGGTAAACAAATAACAGTGAAACTGCAACAGTGACTAAACTAAATAGAAAACTAAAACAATGTTTCCTCATTGTAAATTTGAACAAAGAAGACACAAACAGTTGACTGCACAATTTATTCCCTGGCAGCATATTTCACTATATCTTGTCAGGTGCATACTACAGTAACAATTACATAAATGAAGCAAATAAGTGAATCCATTATAACTGAAGTACAAATTCAACAATGATCAAACATGACTGTCTGTTTTACCAGGGCAGCCGTAAAGTCAGAATCAAATCTTTCTGTATACAGAGTTCCAGGTGCAGGTGACAAATCGCGGAAGCTTCAAGAAATCTTAGCGTTCTGCCACTGGTTGACGTATGAAGGATTTGAAATGTGTTGTCCCTAGTTACCACGTGTCCAGATTTTAAAAGATGGTGTGCTTTTGCGGAGGGGTGATCTTTGCAGCAAATATTCTCCTTCTGAATATTATTTTGCATGGCTTTTCCCACCCATATTGGAATGTGCTCAGCGACTAATTTCTCCAGGTGTCGATCAGTTCTGCCCACATAAGCAGCTTCACAGCAAGCTACATTTAAATTGGTACATACATTTTGATTTGACGTACGTTGACACTGGTTGTTTCACCGAGGGCTTTGGAATGGGGGTCATTTAAAACCTGATAATAGGCGAAGCAGCATAGAAAGTTTGGCTGACTGCTGTTTTGAGCCTGTTGTATAGCCGTTTCATAATATCATCCCCTCGAAAGGTTAGATGGATGTAGACTAGTTGTTTGGGAACTGACGTTTCTGTGGTAGCTGGTTTAGGAGGCTAGCAGTAGTGCTTAATAAATCCAACTGGATATCCATTCAATAATAACGTTCGTTTGAGGGTTTCTAGTGCAGACTGTAGCGTATCACTGGAGCAAATCTTTCTAGCGTGTTTGAATAATGTCCGTACTAGGCACGTTTGTACTGGATGGGTGCAAACTATTAAAGTTCATGTACTGGTCCGTCCAAGTATCTTTCCTATATACTGATCTCTGAATGGTGCCACCTTCTCTTTGCCTGATTAGGATGTCTAAAAAGGTGAATGTGTTATTACATTCATGTTGTAGGGACAGTGAGATGTTTTTGTGTGCCCGGTTCACCTGAGTGTGTACTAATTCTGCTTGTTGTTTATCAGTAGCAATAAAAAGAATATCTTCTTCATAACATTTGTAAAACACCAAGTTATCAATGTCTAGAGATCTTTTTTCTTCTAAGTGTGCCATAAAGATGTCTGCCAGGATAGGACCGGGCGGGCTTCCCATAGCCACACTGTCAATCTGGTGGTAGGACTGCTCGAGGAAATTGAACTTGGCACTAGATGTGCATAATATATAATAACAGTGTCTCCAGTTTTAAGGTGGGCAGATCCAACTTCAGATTCTTCTTCTTTGTACGGTTCTGGATGATTTCAACAGTTTCTTTCAAGGGGACATTGGTCAATTTGCTTATTGTTTAAATTCATTTTCTTTAGTAACTCTGCTAGTTCAAATGTGTCGCTAAGTATATTTGGCACAAACGATTGTAGGACTTGTTTTAGCATAACCGCTAGCCTTTCAGCCATATGGTGCTGAGCTGAATTAACCATGGATTAACAATAAACGCATCATTTCCACACATCCTCTCACGCTAAATAAACTACTGTGCTAAAAGCCACAAAAGAGAAATGTGTGAATACACTACTATTAACTTTACTAGATATAACAAATTCTCAAGAATGACACATCAACATTCAATCTGCACATCACACAACAAATTTAAGCATATTAACAATACAAACAGTTCTTAACAGCAACATACCATTGTCCCATTGTCATGAGCTCTTTTGATGATTTTCTGCCTGCCTTCGACCCAATAAATGAATTCTCCCACTGGATCGTAGGCTAGTGATTTAATGTTTTTCATGCCATTGATGGGCAATACAACTTCAGGGTTGTCTACAGCATTATCTGACTCAATGACTATTCGAATAGTTGCATTTCTGGTTGACATTAACAGGTACTGTTTTGGAGCTGGAAAGAAAACAACGTATTCAAATGTCTTGTTATGTCAGCAACTTTTTTTTTAGCATATACGCTACACAAACAAACGAGTAGATCATATAAGCTTTGATTTAAGTATTCCCCGTGTTGGTTCTAAGGCCACATCATAGGGAAAAAAAAAGAATAGACCCACTGCCTCTTTAACAAGCATGTCATAAGAGTTGACTGATTAGGGGGTTTCTTCAAAGTCAAGAGTGTATTTATCTGAGAAGCAAGGAACCAACAGTCTGCATACAAAAGAGCCGGGTTTCTTGAAAGTCAGAGTGCATTTGTCTAAAAGGCATGGAACCAACAGTCTACATACAAATAAGTCAGATCTGAAAATTGCATGCACACGCAAATTTGAAAAACAATACAACTGATAAAAGACGAGCAACAAACACACAATTTTTACTAAGCTTATGCAAATTTTCAATGCCTGCCAAATGTACCGAAACACTTCAAAACATCATACAAAACTTTCTACATTTATTACACAGAAATGTGAGCATCACTGTATATATTGAAGCTAAAACTATGTGCTTCAAAATAATCTTTACATAGAAACTTTTTTCCTTTTTGTAATGTTCATTTCAAGTAGTGTGCTTGGCACAGCTTGATAACTATGAAAAATGATCTGCAGTTGGCACAGAAAACTATTCTACTGTCGGTTGGAGCTGATCCTTTTTTGGTTTTTGAGGCCTTATTTTGTTAAAATTGGATGTGTTGGGTCACAAGGTGCAGATATCACAGCCTGGTTGTAAACCGCAACACAACATGCCAAACGCCCTTTTAATGCCGAAAGCAGAAGAATAATTAGGGAATGAACCTTGAGTCACTGTACTGGTTAGCCAGTAAACTAATGCGTCATTATGCCTTTAACAACAAGGCATAAACAATTATTTCAGGAAAGAACTATCTTACCTGAACAAGTACGATGATCATCATTAAGTGTGTAGTGAGTTGGGCAGGCACAGTGGTGCGTACTGTTGTTGGGAAAATCCAGTGGGTGGGCTAAACACAAATGGGAACACCCTCCATTGTTGCGTCCACATGCATTAGTGCCTATAGAAAAGACCAGACAGGAATAAACATCAAGATACAATGCAAACACAGAAAATGAGAGGAATTAATTTTAATTCAAAATCTAGAATATAACAAAACAAAGCTGCCCTCCAATACAAGAAATCTGGCAAATATGTCCATTTCAAATCCCCACAAATGCAGCAAAACTGACACTGCAGCAATGACTTGTTCCTAAGAAGATTAAAGGCTGTGGTTCTGTTTGCATCTGCAGTGTATAGGAGGTCCTGATTATGATTACATGTACTAAACATCATGGAGGATGTATGTGTTCATGTTGTGTGTGACTGACCGACTGAAATGTCATTCCTTTCTGTGCAGTTGGCACTTCATACTACTGATGAAATCAACACAAAACGGTCTGCTGCCAAATCGCCCACAGCTGAATCAAACCAGGTGAAGACAGGGACGCTTTGAGCAGAGTGGCAAACTTCACTTGGAAGGTCACGAGTAGGGAGCATACTTTGGATCTTTTTGTCCAGGTAACGCAGACATGGAATGAACAGGTAAGACAGATTGGCTGGATCTGCACTACTGGGTGGTGAACTGATATGTGACAAGGCAGATGTGGTCAAGACCCTCTGGGAACAAGTAACAAAGTCTGAAGGGAAACTAGATTATTATGGCCTGGTGAGAATGGGTGTGACCAGAAGGTCTGGTCAGCTCAATACACTTTGAGGAAAGGCAAGCCAGACATATAACCAGACTATGACCAGTACCATTAGTTCTGGAACTCTGCTGTGGCTGCTGAAGATAGGGACGGAGCACATATGCAAATGCCCCAAGTGATGTGATGTCAATTCTAACCTCAACTCAACTCAACAGGTATTTCAGAGTTTACAAAGCCTGCTCGAAACCCTTAGGCCACAAATGTCGGTAATCCCTTTAAACTTCATTAACATACCATGTTTTAAAATCAGTCAAGTCAGATTTACATGATTTCACAATTACCTGACTGCCTGGAGGCATGAAATACCAGGATGTCCATAGCATGGTCAACGTCTCCCTGGATCACAGTCCTGTTCAGTCCATTATTTTTGTTAGCTCTTTCAATAGACCTGCGTTTCAAATCTGTCCAGTACACAAAGTCCTGATACTGGCTCAGGCCCATTGGTTGGTCGATATCTGCCTGGACGACCAGTTTGAGGTCACCACCTGTGATAAATACAAGAACACTGGCTTAACGAGACAGTCAAGTAATACACATAAAAAGGACCCTTTCTACGCCTTTAGGCGTATTGGGCATATAGGGCTAGACCCATATTTAATGACCAATCGGCACTTGGTGGGTGATGTGGTCAGCATCATACTGGTGGAGTGATACACAAGCTTCTATTATTTATATCCACAAAGAAAACCACGCTATTCATATATATTATACATTCGCAAGCTCCATGGGCTGTAAGACATGCCTCTACACAGAACCTTATAGTCTGAAAATAAGGAATGGTCCGAACTAATTTAATATGTTTTCCCAACACAATATCCCAATACACAGCAGCAGCAGCAGCAGATACAAATTCCATTTCTTTACAGCCCATCAAAATAATGTGTTCAATAATGAACACCAGCAATTTACTTCATATACAACATATATCTTTTCTTCTTTTGCTCATGCAGTTCTGGACTGGACGTCTGGTTTGCCAGTTTTATATCACACTGCACTGCTAATAATTTCAAACACAGAAGTTAATTTTCACTGCAACATAATAATCTGTCCTGCACTGCCTTTCTAGTTCTGTCTCTGAATCAATCCTCCTGTTGCCACAACATTTTCCAGTTCAGTCCTTCTATGACATGGACTGTATATTTCGTATATGTGTTCTGATCAGTTCTCTTGAAGAGTTATGTTCTTATAAGACATTAACATTACTCAAAGCAGCCTTCCTAGATGTTCTTAAACTAAACTATGTGGGTCCGAATGGTTTATAAGCCACACACTTAAAAAATTCCCAATCTCAATCTGTAGAGAATGCAGCATTGCTTATTATTTTCATATAAGGGTGAACATGAGGGACATAAGACATTATGCACATATTAAATCTCCTGCTCAAACCGTTGGAGACCGTTAATAAGCTAAATAGGTCACTGCAATGGCGACATTTCTAAAGGAGAAAACCAATCCAAAGCAGAACATCAGTAGCCTGTGCTGAAGAGGAAAGGCAAACCCAGTCTTTAAAAATGTCAACACCCTGTGTCAACCCAGAAACAAGGTTCCTTACTGGGAGCCTGGCTGACGTAGATAGGATCAATGTTTCTTTCAAAGTCAAGATGCACCTGCCTAAGATGCAAGAAACCAACGGTTTGCTCACAAATAAGCAATAACTGTAAAATAAGAGATGTACAGGCAAAACTGAAGTCCTGGAACTTCTTCTTCTTTGGGTTCACCAGCTGTAACCTCCCAGTGAAAAGTTCTGACTGTTCGCCCACTTCTGGACTTAAGCCTTGTTCCAGAACTTGAGTTTTGTGTGCACATCCATTTGACAAATCTGGTATATTTTGTATGCAGACTGTTGGTTCCTTGCCTTTCAGGCAGCTGCAATCCGACTTTGAAGGAAACATCACTAATTAGTCTACTGTTACTACATGTTTGTTAGGAGGCAGTGGGTTTATTCTTGTTCCCTCCCCCACAACTGGACCCCAGAACCCACACAGGAAGAAGTCCTGGAACAAAACACAAGTCCAGAAGTGGATGAACAACCAGGAGACTTTCTATTGGAGTTTACAGCCAGTGAACACAAAGAAGTCTCCAGGAACAAGCCAGGGGAAAAAAAACCCAATCCAAAATATAAGACTCACCAAGCATGTCACAGGACATGATACTGTGATTGTCCTCATTGGTCCAGAACAACCGCCTCTCAAGGTAATCAATGGTTAGATCCTGTGCATGGCCAATGTTTGTGATGAGGACTTTCCTGTTAGTTCCATCTAAGAGGGCTCTCTCTAGTGAAGGTACATCTCCCTGCACTGTCCAGTACATGTAACTGCAAAATGAAATGAGCAGTGAGAATTCAGAAAGTAAAAAAAAAAAAAACGTTCACACTCTAAAACAACATTTCTCTTCATCTGCGTTTGACCGTAAACTGGTGTTTGGAACACTGTTGAAATATTCACAACTTTCTACTTAACATATCCGATTTCAGCAAACCCTTAATTAGTCGTCTTTTACAACATGCTGGTTAAGAGGCACAGAGTCCATCCATCACCCCCCCCCCCCCAATCATGCGGGCAGTGAAAACCAGCATAAAAGGTAATGTCTCAGCAGTGTGAAGTGTTAGGTCTTCAGTTATTCTAGTCTATGGCATGTGCGGTCAAGTGACAGATTCCCTATTCTCATTACGGTTCCTCTCTTTTTAAAAACTGCAGAAAACTGTCAGATATCCATGTTTATCAGGCTAGGTTTACATTTGAGCCATGCAAGTTGGAAAATGCAATCCAACTTCTGCTGGGAATTCAAGCTGGACCACTGTTTCAGCACAAGATCATTATGGCCTGAAAAGAATGAGGCACCTGGGGGTAACCAGAGAGTCTGGCCGGCTCACAACACTCAGAGGATAGGCAAGATGGACGTATTACCAGATTACGACCAGTACCATTAATATTGGACGGAGCGTGCATGGGAATGCCCTAAGTGCTGTGATGTCAGTTCTTGACCCAACTCAACACTGATTCGGCAGATAAGTACACTACTTGCATATTGTAGTATTTAAGTAGAAAATATTAACTCAATTTTTATCTACAAATTACCACAAACACATGCACACTGATTTAAAAAAAAAAATCAATGAAAGGTTTAAAATTGAGAACTGTCTTCACTGCACAGGATTTTATTCCACATGGCTAGCCACATGCTGAAATCATTGCACAAAGCCCTAACTCCACAGCTTCAGCAATGATCCCAGTACAAAGTGCACTCTTAAACCAAACAATGCAGTCCGTCAAATGAACCCACAACTTTCAAAGATAGTCAAGAATCAACATCCCATCAGTGTTCAACTTCCATCTTCAACAGCCAGAGAATTGTCATTTCAAAACTTTAAGAGTATGGGGCAAATGGCTTCAAAATGTGGCTAAATAAAAAATAAAAAAAACACTATGTTATCAAATTCTTGACCTAAATTACAAACAGAAAAAAAAAAAAAAATATTGTTTCTCTCTACCAGTCAAACGAATGATGCTTACCCATTTGGTGGATCCAGTGCTAGAGCTCTGGGTTCTTTTAAACCCCTCCAAACCAAAACCTTCCGTGATGACCCGTCCAGCCTGGCCACTTCAATTCTATTTTTGCCAGTGTCTGACCAGTAGATATTGTGAGCCACCCAGTCCACAGCCATGCCCTTGGGGAAGTCTAGCCCAAACTGTATGATATGCTGAAGAGAACTGCCATTCATATATGCTCGGCTGATGTGCTGCAATATAAAGATAACAGAGCAGGCAGGAAAATTACAGGTATGCTGCGAAAATCATAATTAAAAAAATACATACTTTGAACAGATGCCACATATATAGGGTAAAACACAGGAAACAGCAATATCAATGGACTGTCAATGGCAAAAAAAAAAAAAAAAAAGCTTGAAATGCTCTACACACATAGGAATGTTTTTGAAACAACTGTTTTTACCTGAAGTTCTACATCAGTCCAGTAAATTCTACTGTCTGAAATATCAAAATCAATGGCCATTGCCTTCTGAATGCCCTGTATTGGGATAGCCTGATTGTTCTGATTTGTCTCCAATGAAACTCTGCGAATATCAGATCGACTTGAAAACAGAAGGAACGCTTCAGGCACTATACACGTGCTACTATCAGCTCGCAGTTCCAGGCCCATAGGACAGGCACACACATGCTTCAACGGAGGTGGTCGATACAGGCAAAGATGACTGCAGTTTCCATTATTTAGGGCACACGAATTTGTACCTGAAACAGATAATGCCACTATTATATTCAAACCACTAAACCAGACAAAAACAACAATCAGGCGGCATTATCTACTACCAACTGTGTCTTCAAACATTCTAAACAATTTTTTGGGGTTTTTAGATGTGGTTCTACAGAAGAAATCTTAGAATTCTGTTGAAAAGGGTAAGTGCCCGAAGACAACTTATCAAAAGCATTAGAAAAAGGCAGCCATTATTTTTAGGCTTGTTAGAAGAAGAATGAAACTCGACCATGTTGTTACCACAGAAAAGATCCGTTAAAAAAGAAAAAAAAAAAGGAAATAGATTATGTAGACAGGCAAGGCATTTGATGATATGCTGATGTCTCATCATACAAATTTAAAAAATAAAAATTTACAGATTCTAAGAGTTAATTATTTTAAGATCAACTATCTTTAAAAAAGAAAAACAAATTTATGTGCAAATACACAAGCAGGTATGTAAATGCCAATTACAATTGTCAAGTATAAAGGACCCCTTCATGCCTTTGGTGCTAGATGAGTTTAATAAACCAACTGATATTCGATGGGTGATGTGGACATCACCTCAGCAGCATTTCTCCCCAGGACATTTCCTGGCACTCATTTTAAGCCGAGTAGACTTGGTGTAGATTTGAACCTTAGACCTTTAAGAGACAGGCAAGAGTCTAGCCCCTGCACTACTAAGGCTTATTACAACCCCCCAAAAAATAATTTTCATCCTCACCATTAGGTTTGTTGATATTCACCGCTTTAAGCCCCATCAAATCTGGAAGTTGGTCAATGATAGCTGTTCGATTCTGACCAGTGTACTTGTTTACTCTTTCGATAGATCTTCCTTGCCAATCTGTCCAGTAAATATACTCATCTGAAAAAGACAAAGACAACTGAATTTCAATGTACCCAATCAACATTACATCTAGCCCGTTCAATTAACGGTCAACATCACGCTGGTCGCCTATACTTTCCAGGACTATACCTGGAATCACTCAAGGAGTCAAGGTCATTAAAAAAAAAAAACACAAAAGAGTTTAGTTCCGTCAGGACCTGAACTCAAGACCTTCCGATCCGCAGACGAGTGTCTAGTTACAACACCACAGTGGTTCTAAAAAACTTTACCAGTGTTAACTGTTTATTCTACAGTGTCAAACATTTTAAGGGAAAATATTTGTAATCATTATACATACATAATTCAATGTTAATTGTAATTACTCCTAGTGAGATAATAAAGGCTTTAAAAAAATGAATAATAAAGAATAACTAATTTATGTCAATTAAATATGTAAACTACAAGAGAGATAATTGAACAGGCTAGCCACTGAGAGAGTGGAAATGAGAAGATGAAGAGACAGACTGAGAAAAATAGGGGCAAAGAATAATAATTTGTTGGGAGGTGTGTGTGGTGCATGTGTGCGAGCGCAAGGAGTAGAGTGCATTAAAAAGCTAAAAAAAAAAAACAACCAAAAAAAAACACGAAGATGGGAGACAAAGTCCAAAGAAGGATGTTAATAAAATATGCAAATGTAATATATATTTTTGTCTGTACCAAGGGCTCATAGATATGTGACTGCACACTATGTTTTAACCACACACGGCCACAACATACCCAGCAAGCTAAATCCAAATATATGTGGCAACCCCTCGGCAACCAAGATTTTCCTATGTCCGCCATCTAGATCAGCCACCTCTATACGATCAGTGTTGGCATCTGCCCAGTACAATTTCTTCTCCGCAAAGTCGACAGCCAAGCCATTAGGCCAGCCAAGGTTGTTGCGAATGATCACAGTTCTGTGGGTGCCGTCTAAGTAGGCTCGCTCTATCAGAGGCTCTTTACCCCAGTCTGTCCAGTACATGAACCTGTTTGATCAGAAGAAGCCTTTAATATTTGTTATCAATATCTAAAAAAAAAAAAGGCTACTCACAACAAAAGCCCTGAAATAATTATCATCATCAGTGTCCTGTTGTGCCGTTATACATCACACAGGGTTCAGTCTAGTCCCCCATTTCATTCTAACATATGAAAACCTGTCCATATCATAGACAGAATCTAGACCAGTGCCTTTGATTTTCTCAACAATGTCTGTCTTAGGTTTTCTCTATTACCCCCTTATCTCCCTAATACATGTGTTTCCCATTTCAGTGCCTCTTCAGTGATTCTCTGTCCACACTCTTCATGATGTGCACAAAAAATTTCCATTTTTTTTTTAATTCTGCTTATTTCTTCGCTTTTCTTAAATCATCCATCCATCCAATCTAATGTTCATATGGACACTGGAAGGGTAAAGACAACAAGGAAGACCAAAGGAGACTCTGCGCAGAACTATCATCAGGCAAGGCTTAACCATGGGTCTAACAAACCTCCAAGATTTAAAGCAGGTGGCAATGAACCGCCAGACATGGACAGCTATGACTTCTGCCCTATGTGCCACCATAGTCTCAAGAGGAAAGACTAACTAACTAACTAACTAACAATCCTAAAGTTCTTTATGCATGTTTTCAAATGCATTTAACTTTCACTGCATAAAGTATTTGTAGCTTTGATAATTATAGCCTTGCTTAGGGTGACACTTGTTGTGTCTAGGAATTTGTTAAGTCAATTGTTTATCACAATCATGTTTTTATTTAACTTTTTCTGTTCCAAACCAATGTAACTTAAACGCTTTCTATCACAAACAGTTTACTGAACAGTTTTTAAAAAAAATCTTGAGTTTAATAAAGAAAGTTTAAACAACAACACTATGGAAATGACAGACTTAATAAAAGTAGCAATGCTGATAAAGAGTGCTAGCCTCCACCTTGCCATGGAGGGGGAAGCTTGTGTTTCTTAATGACCACGAGAGATATGCCGGCAGTAGCATAGCTCCTGTCCCAACCCAAGCCAGACAGGTCTAAGGGTGAATAAAAGGCAAAGATACAAACTCGGGTCCTCCAGGATGGCTTGCGCTGCCATTTTGTGACACCTCATTTTGTCATGAAACAGACTCTAAGCCGTTGACGTTGAAAATAAAAAAATTAAAAAAAATGGTGGATTTAAACTGACAACTACCCTGTGAATATACAGGCAGACATGGAGTCACCAAACGCAAAAAGAAGGCAAGTCACAGAGTTGAAAGAAGTGGGTAATATCTGCAGCAATGAGCCTCAAGCGCTCAGAATGCTAATGGAAGAGAAGGAGGAGAAGAAAATACTATAACAGGAAAACTGAAAAGGAAGAGAGGCAAAGACCAAGAAAGAAAATTTAAGACAGTCTGGCATCATGGTGTGGAAGAACACTTGTATCAGAAATTATTATACAAGGCAGAAATCCATGGGCTGCTATTATTAACACCACATGGCATGGACCATTAGGATCTGTCTCAAGAAAGGCTAAAATATTGTGTGGACTTGAGTTACGGCTAATAAACATGTCTGGTTCCATACTGCCTTGTTCTCTGCTGACTCCCACGTGTACTTCCTGAACTTCACATGAAAATTTTCAACATGCTTTATGAGAAGCGGATGGCCAAGTGGTTAGAACACTGGGCTCTCATGTAGGAAGCTAGGGTTCTATCCTTGGTGAGGGGCAGAGATTTTTCTATTAACCCAAAAAGTCTAACATGCAGTTCTTGGTCACTACACTAGCCATGAACCCCCCCCCCCCCCCCCCCCCCCCCCCCCCCCCCCCCCCCCAGCCTAAATGTGGTAAATATAGGTATAAAGCATTTTTTCCTATGTTAGAAGAATAGTCCGCTGCTGTTTCCTCTTGGCTTGGCTATTTCAAAATAGTAAGTGTAATAATAAAACTTTAAACAATTTTAAATCTTACTCTAATAAGACACAATATAGTACTTCATCAAACAAATCAAATATGTCTTTATTTCTCTTCTTTTAATCAGCTTAGAATTACCCTCTATCTGTAGTCCCTTACTCTTCTTTTCATTAGCTTGGAAGCACCCTCAATCTAAACTGTTTGTGTGTTCAACAATGAGCATTCTGTAGTTTCTTCATCTTCTACCTTCACCTTGAAATGAGTGGTCGATATTATTGCATTATGCTTTACATAAAGCTAGGCTGCAATTTCTGCACAGGAGATAGTGGATCTATTCCCCCCCCCCCCCCAACCACCTTTCCACCCAAAAGACCCCAGGATTCAATTGAGGCAGCAGAGTTTGACATCTAGGGCTATTTATTCAGGATATAAAATCAGTATTTCTAAGTTGCAATTAGGGAGTGTGAACTTTGCTTAAAAACTGAAAATGTACCCACCCATCTGTGGGGCTAATGCATATAGCTCTTGGCTGGTCCAGTCTATCAGATAGAAGAACTTTTCGAGATGTCCCATTTAAACGTGCCACTTCAATCCGATCTGTGCCTGTATCAGTCCAATACAAGTTCTGTGCTATCCAGTCCACAGCTATACCATCCGGCTGGTCAACTTCGGTGTCTGCTATGGTTTCTTGTTCTACATAAATATAAAATGAAACGAGTTATAAGCAGCACAACATAAAAGCTTTGTCACCAGCAGAGCTTTACAAACTGTGTGTTGCAATACATTAGTGTGTTGGCTGCAGAGTGAAGGTTTTCCCCACAAATGTAAAACGTTAAACAGAATAATCGGCATGTGACATGAAACTGCTAGTAGACCTTGCTAATGGACTAAAGAATTGAAACATCCATCTGATATTTGTATATTATCCGCAGTTACCAAAATGGGGCCTGAGTAGTTAATATCAATAACCACATTGCGAAAAAATATGAATAATACTTTTAATCAAACACAACAGCCAGTGCAACAAAGTAAATACTTGCATTCAATAATTATAGTAATCTTAACTGTTTAAATGTCCTTATCAAAAAAAAAAAAAATCAGCTGCTTCAGAATTAAAGTATTGGAAGGAAAAAGGCAGGTTGTCTAAAACAAACGAGATAAGAGTGTACGCTGGAAAAATATTGGTCTTAAAGTTTTGCGAGGATTAATTTCCCTAAATACACAACTGCTCATAGACAACGAAATTAAAAATGTTACCCGTTTTTACCTGAGCCATCCAATCGTGCCCGCTGTATTTTCTTCACCTCCCCATCAGTCCAGTAAATAAACCCAGTAGTACTGTCATAGTCTAAAGCAATCGCATGTTGAATATCTGTCAGCTGAATGATCACATCTGTGTAGTCTGGGGTATCCAAGGAAATCTGGCGAATGTCCTGCCGTCTGGCCAGGAACAGTAACTTCCCGGCTCCTAGACGAGAGTAAACAGCAGTTAATCATGAATTATTTGTGAATCTTTATCAGTTTCTTTTATGGTTTTCCTTCATTCCCAAACATTCTCTTTAATAAGCAATCACAGGTTGTGACCTAGAAACATGTGATACACTGTACACATTTTTCAATTACTTTTTACTCAAACACGTAGACTCTTGACTTCTGACCCAATAGTCTTGGGTTTGAATTTGCAATAAATGAGTTTATCGATCGAGTGCTGACTGTTCTGTAACGATATAGGTCCTACACCATATGTCTGACGTACAAATAACATGAGGACTCTTTAACTTACTTGCATACACACAAACATATTTATCCAAATTGATTGCTGTACTTTACAACAACACAAAATCTTTGATCTGTTTCTGTCATTGTGATCCTAGGCCATAGCAACATTAAGGCAAATGAAAGAGCAGACTACTTAGCAAAAGCTGGAAGTCATACAGAACAGCCAGATACAGGACAAACTTATGATGAAGAAAAACCCATCAAAGCAATCTTTAGAACTCACTTTCCATCCAGGACACAATCGGGAAGACTCAATCACCATCGTCACATGAAAGAAAGAAACCACTGTATTCACAGTGCCTACTGGACAGGAAAATATGTTCCTGGGCTGTAACCTAAATCTAGGTCCACCAAGAACAAAGACATTTAATTTCTCCTAGCTACAGTTGAAGTCTAACACCCAGACTCTTTTCCAGGGGTCAGGTGTCAATAGTGCAAATAACAGGTTTTGTCTGTAAAACCTGAGGTGGCATAATTAATTATTTTAAAGACAACCTTAGGAGCAGGTAACTCATTTAAAAAAAAAAAGTAATAGTCTCCTCCTGGGATATCATTTAAAAAAAAAGTAGTTGTCTCCTCCTGGGATTATCTTTCTTGAACAGCAGGCCAGGGCTAGGGTTGACACCTTTCAGAATGAGGTGTCATCAGACAACCTCAGACCAGACCAGGTGTCAGAGCATTTGGCAGACTGGGAATGTTGAGAAAGGTAATGACCATGCAAAGCTAGGTCCAGCTAGGGCCATGGGAATGCATAAAAGTATTTGAGCCTTCTTGACTGACAGGCATTTAGTGAACTGCCTATACCCACAGGGAGGAGCTTTTACATCCCTTGAAAAAGAGAGTTTCAGAAAGAGAAAAAAAGAGGAGCTTAGGAGAGGTTATAAAAATGTGGACAGCAGGGCTGGGAAAATTTAGACTGCTTTCAGCACGCCACTACTCCCTCGTGTGGGTTCCGGGGCCCTATTGTAGGGAAAACAAGAATAGACCCACTGCCTCCCCAAAAGCATGTCGTAGGAGTCGACTAACTGGGGCGCTTCCTTTGAAGTCGGAGTGCATCTGCCTGAGAGGCAAGGAACCAGCAGTCTGCATTCAATTGAATCAGATCTGTAAAACTGATGCACACGCAACACTCAGGTTCTGGAGCAGGACTGTAGTCCAGAAGTGGACGAACAACCAGAACTTTACGCCAGAGTGTACAGCTGGTGAACAAGAAGAAGAAGAAGAAGCACGCCACTACTGTTGGGCTCAACATCTAAGCTTTAAGATAGAACTTTGTGCCATAGTGCTCTGATTTTCCAAGTAAGCAAAATTATTTGCAATCTTAATTTCCTGATAGAAATCTCAACTGTCTCTCTGCTCAAATGTCCGCATTTACTCCTTTAGAGTTGCTCTTAGTGAACATTTCTCCAGTCCAGGAGGGGGCTGTCAAATCTCTCTATATCTTAACTGATGTTGTCATGTATGTTTTCAATGTGCATGTTTTTCACACAAAAACTTGAATACTGATGTTAACACCAAAATTTAATGAACTGTCATGTTTATGAAATCACTAGTGTAAAGTTGTTTTTGGCAGTCTCTTCATGTGTGATTAATTTGATTGTCTGTCTTACTACAGCTAATTCGATAAAATGTATTTAACTCATGGGGAGGCTAATGCTGGAGATTGACCCTGGAGGGTAAAACCCTGAGATTTTATACTTGATATCGCCCCAGAAATATTGTTATCACTCTGGGCGCACACATTATATCAGGTGTTAATTCCAGATCTTGTTTTGTCAAAATGAGTTTAAATTTTAGTCTGCCTGAGAGACGACATCAGATTTAAAGAACACAGCTATCATTACAGGGCATGAGTAGATGAAGGCAGGACATGCAAACAACTACAATGTGAGACGAAGCCCTTCCAGACTAGATGGTAGAGACCATGTATATGTGGAGGAGCAATGTATTATACTACGTGTAAGAAACCTGAGCTTACAGATGGGTATTTGTTTCTTTATCACAGTTTCCACATGGGGCATGGACTAGTCAGCATCTATTTTTTGCAGACAGTCTGAGTGTAACGACCTGCTTGAAGCAGCGAGGAGGAAAAGCTGGAAAAGAGGCAGTCTCAAACTGAGATCTGTCTAAGGTTTACTTTCCAGTAATGTTATTTTTATGTTCATAAGAATATCGTTTCACCATCCTAACTCTACTAGCAAATGTACGTACTGATCTCATTGACTGACAGATTACCATCACTGAGATGTTGCCTTTTATGATTGCAAGATCAATATCATCCATTTAATTTTCTTTAGACTAATACAATAAAATCTTGTTCAAGTTATTATAAAAAAGGTGGGTAAATTGTGTACTTAGGTTAAGGTGTCTTTGTGCACACCAGTTTACCTCAGCTCGCTTATTTGTAAATCACTTTATGGTTTTTTTTTGTTATACATTAATACCAGGAGAGACATTAATACCAGGAGAGGAGAAAGACAGAGGGGTTAACTGTATATCTTGAAATTCTCTCACTAAATTCCTCTTTATATCTAACTACCCTTTTTTCTACTCCTGTGGATACAAGAACAACTACTTTAATTTTATTCTACTAGCCACTTTTTGCTGTTTTCTTGGTTATCCAGGACTGTGTTTTAGATCAACATAGCCAAGGCATTAGTCCAATTTCTCACGTGGGTGTGCAATGTTAGGATTCCAACCCACACACGTACCAAAAAAGTATTTCCACATGAGGTTAGCGACAATGGAAACAAAGGATTTTGCAGCTATATGTACAAGATATTCAAGATTCAGAACTTTGCACATACACATGTGGACAGGCACTGCAGAATACTGAACATGGGAGCTAAAGACATGCTCTCTACATGCAGTAGAGAGATCCCAAGTTCAGCCTTTTGGCCTTTCAATGGAAATGCAGCTGTATGAAACAGTGGAAGGCAACATGCTGCATCACAGACTTCATAGAGGCCTGTGTCCTTCTCATCTGAAAAACCAGTGGCAGGGAAAAGAAAAAGGAAAAAGAAAAAATTTGTTATTTTCAACAATTCTTACCATTAGCACATGTCTTGTTATTGCTTAAAAGCTGCACCCCTGTCGGGCAGGCACACTTGAAGTAAGGCGGGATGGGTGACATAAGGCACAAGTGAGAACAACCTCCATTGTTGTTACTGCACAAATTACGACCTGCAAAAATATTGTAATAATACAGTTAGCACAAGCAACTAAAGTATTATTTTAAAGACAATCACATCAAAAACTTCAGTTAACAGAATATGAGCAATCTTTTTCTTCTCCTGCATTTAAACTTAAAGGGGCGGCTGGCAGGCTGTGTTGTAGTTAACAGCTTGGCTGCAATATCTGTGCCTTTTGACCCCACTCATATGATTTCAGCAAACCTCTAATTAGTCACCTTGTACAACATGCTTCTCTTGTTAGTGAGAGGAACTGGAACTCATAGGGGGAAAGCATGTTTCAATCATATACACACTTTGCACACAATGATGCCTGCATTTAGTTTACTTTCCTCTTCTTCTTGGTGTTCACCAGCTGTAAATTCCAGGGAAAAGTTCTGTTTGTTCGTCCACTTCTGGACTTTGGGGGTCTTGTTACAGAACCTGAGTTTGTGTGTGCACATCTGTTTTACAGATCTGGCTTACTTGTAAACAGACTATTGGTTCTTCACCTCTCAGACAGATGCACTCCAATTTCAAAAGGAAACCCTATATGCCCAGTACACCTGAAGACGTGGAAAAGGGTCCTTTACTTTTTTACTTTCGAAAGAAACACCCCTATTTATGTCATGCTCGCTAGAGGGGTAATCTGTCTATTTTCTTCCCACCAAAAAAAAGGAACCCCAAAACCCATACAGAGAATTCTCATTTCTGAACAGCTTAGAGACAAATGAAGTGACCCTCACCTTTTGGCTGTCTACTGCTCATATATGCATGTATATCCATAGGAGCATAGACCTTGTCAAGGACAAGAAAGCATTCTGCTCCACTGACTTTGCTGCACCCATGAATTGAATGTGTGTGCCAGTCTGACCAGTAGAGAATGTCTCCATATAGAGTCAAAGCAAATGGATGAGACAAGGACCCTTCCAAAACGGCACGACGGTTCTTGCCATCAAAATCACAACTGGAGAGAAAAAACAAACTCAAAGCTGTGAGAAATACGCCCTTTAAATATGATTAAAAAAATGTTCATTATGATCAATGGTTATTAAGATTAAAATGTAAACTATATGTGTTCTGAACCACAGAATAAACTACCACCTTTTACATTTTAATATAGAGGCACTACTTTTTCTTCTTCACTTCCTCTTTTACCGCTACTGGTGTCGAGGAAGATGTAAGGTTTTACTTCGCTTTCATGATGCCTATCTTTCCAATTTGTGCTCCATGTTCTTCTTCTTCTTTGGTGAATGTCTTTCAAGGCATTTCCTTGAAGTGAGCAAAGCATCTGATGTCATGTTTTTATATCTGGTTCTGTACAAAATATTTTATCTGATGTCTTTGTATGTAATTCAGAATTGGTTCTTTGCAGAATCCGTCTCTTACAGCTTCATTTTTGATTTGATCTCTTCTCGTCCTTCCCACAGCCCTTGTAAGACATCTCATTTCTATGGTTACTAATTTTCTTTTATAGTCTGTTGTGTGATTCTGTCTGGCACTGGTAGCATAGGTGAGATGTTGCTTTGTGCTAATCGAGATTCTCTTATGCTGTAAGAGGAGGGCTAGCTGCCCCAACACTTGATTTCCATTACTGCATCTATCGTTAATTTTTCACCCAATTTCCCATCTAAAGGCACTACTTATGGCTCTGGGGCTGATTGGGCCTCTTAGAAGTGATTCTTTCCTTTTCTTCTGCATTCAACCTTAAAAGGGTGACTGGTACATTGTTTTCTGGTTTACAGCTAGGCTGCAGTATTTGCACCCTTTAACCTAATATATCTGATTTCATCATCATCATTCTGCCATCATATGCCCCCCCCCCCCCCCCCACACACACACACAGGACTTGCAGCCTTTTCTTCAATTCTGTTCTATCTTCTCCAATCCCTTCAATATCATGAGTGGCATCTAGTCCAGCTCTTTTGGCCACTCTCATTAACGTTAGTTTCAGAGTTTCTGTTTCTTGATTCCATTTGTTTCCTGTTTTTACAATGTGCCTTTGGTGATGCTCTGCTCACTTCATCTTAGGATGCGCTCTATATAGTGCCATCTTCTTCGGCTTTATAACCAGGAATTTTTTCTTTCTATGAGTACGCAGCAACAGCCACTTAAAAAAAAAAAAAAATTCTCAGGCATCAACTTTTTGTGTGTGGGTACAACCTTAACAGACACTGTGTGAACCTTAACAGACACTGTGTGGTAAGCACCGGCATCTTTTTAGACAATGTGGTGAGTGCTCACACTTTTTTTTAAAGAAAAAGGGACTGCTTACAGCCTTTATACTACTGGTGTCTGGACGGTTCTCTATTTGTTCACAATTCTTGAATTCCTCCAATTTAATTTCATCAGTTTCATTTCTTACATTTGATATTAATTCCTTTTTCTTCTGTCAGGCGCCCAAAAAAAAAATCTTCACCTGCACAGTCCGTGGCGAAAGCACTAGCCATGCGGCCCTAAATCCTCAGGCTCAAAGACCCTCCTGCCTACACCCCAAAAGTCGTATAATAAAGGCAGTAATTGGTAGACATTAATTCCTAAGTGTATGTCATGTCTTTAAAAATTTCAAGCTTTATTTTTACTAAGCTATCTATATGCATGCCTGTATTTGAAAAATAAGGAAGAAACACAAACCCATGGATCAAATTAAGCTTTGCATCAGCCCAATATAATTTTTGCTCCTCGTAGTCAAGAGTCAGTCCATTTGGCCAATGGATATTGTCTTCTACAATAACAGATCGTGTTTCTTCAGTGCCATCCATGCCAGCCTTCTCAATCTTTGGACTCTCGCCCCAGTCAGTCCAAAACATATATCTGAAATACATGAATACACTGTTAGGAATAAAATTTACAAACTTTTACAAAATTCACAATTTTGCCTGCAGTACCTTTTTTAATTTTCTATATTTAATGCATGTCAAAATTCACCTGGAGGCCTCATTTTGGGAGTGGAAAAAAGACCTAAATGGCAACTAATTAAGGGTCTGCTGAAACCAGACATGTTTAGCAGAATGGTACAGATATTGCTTCCTAGCTGTAGACCATAACATGCCAACAGCCCTTTTAGGGCAAACATAACGAAAAAGAAGAAGAAAAAGAAGAAGAAATATATTAAAGTAGCAATGAAGCTGAGGTCGTTGACATCGTCATATAATTTGTTCTCAACCATAGCCAGCATAGGCTGCTCATATAGCGCCTGCTGGACATCCTCAGAGCAAATTCGCCTTCAGTGTGATGTCTTATTAGTCGACTCTTACGACTTACATAAGGTGGGTTTTTTCCCTCCCCATAATGAGGCCCGAGAACCCACACAGAAAAAAAGCTGACTTTAATAATCGCCTTTAAATATTTTAAACAAATTAGTTGGAAACCCATACAAAAAACAAGTAATAATAAATAAAACATACCCTCGTCCAGGATCGAGTACAATAGCCCTGGGCTGATCCAACTTGTGCCAGTACAACACTTTCCTGTACCCTCCATCCAAGTTACTAACTTCAATGCGGTTGGTTTCAGAATCGACCCAGTACAGTTTCCGTCCCAGCCAATCACAGGCAAGCCCTTCTGGTGACACCAAGCCTGTTGAAATGACCGACTGTGGATGCCTTGTGTCATTAAGAAAGACTCGCTTGATGTCTTCTGTGGTTACATCGGACCAGTAGATGATGCCCTCATCAAAAATGAAATCTACAGCTGCAGCATCTTCCAGATCGGAGATGATGATGGTCGCATTAGATCTTGTATTGGCAACATCGACGATCTGAACATCTTTGTGGTTCGCAAACAGTATCAGAGGGTCCCCTTTGAAAGACAAAATATACATATATCATGTTACAAATAGTAGTAGGATTGCTACTATTTCTAAACACTAATAAAACTCAAACACAACTGTCTATAAACCTAACCATGTGTATCAAAAGGTGAAATCAATACATTAAACAACTGTGGGTAATGACAAAATATGACTGGTGCACTAAAATATTTGTAGTTTGAGACAAAGAAGCAGATGCCAAGCAGTCAGACCAAGGCTCTCATCTGGGAGACCCTGATTCAAAATCCCTAATAAGCTGAAGGTTATTTTTTTCCTTTTCAAGGGCAAAACGAAATAACCTAACTGGCAGAATCTGTGGCAACTGCAAAGACCTAGAAATCCTCAAACTTAAGATATCCCTGGCTACAAGTGTCTGCTGCTACTTCTTTTCTCTACTTCTGGAATGCTTCATGGCGTCAGGGCAGGAAGAGACCTCTGGAACAGGCCCTTCTGTTCACTTCGTACTTTTCAGTGCCTCTGATATTTCTGCGGTCCCTCTTCTGCATGGTCGACCTCTGGCGCTGCCACTGCTGCATAACATTGCTCTCTGTGGTGCCCTGTCTGATGCCAATCTTGTAACATGGCCAAACCATTTTATTTGTTGTATAACTATAAAGTTCAGTATTAGTCCTGTGAAACTCTCTTCTTGGTATCATTCTTTCTAAGTCAATCTTTCCTCGTTACACCTAGCATAGTATGAAAACATTTAATTTCTGTCGTGATTATTTTCCTGCTGTCTTTTGAAGACCGAAGTCCAAAAGTGGACGAACAATCAGAACTTTCTGAGTTTGCAGCCAGTGAGCACTAAAAATAAGAAGAAGAAAAAGAAGAGAGTGCTTGGTCACAATGCATTATCAAGTTAGGAAACCAGACCTTTTCTGAATCTTGATCATGTGAGGCAGTGAACAATAATTTGCATACCAAAAAAAAAAAAAAAAAACAGCATGAAACATTGGTGGCGGTGGGCTAACCATTACAGAATTTCACAGGGCAAAACTTCTATTCTGATTCCATATCCTACACACCTGACTAAAACAGTATCTGATTTAACTCTTATGGTACCAAACAATTCACCATTTGTTGAATGGTAACTCCTAAAATAAAAATAGTTTCCTCGACACTGTTTGGTAAAGTTATAAATCAACCGCTGTTAGAAAACAATTTTTAATTTAAACTGACAAGCGATTCAGACAGAGAGAGATGGGGGAACAACAGTCTAGGGTGATTTAGCACGAGTTTGTTGAAGGCCTATGCTCAACTGGGTGATAAAATGCAGAAGAGAATAACAGCAATCTGAGAGAATGTACGTCATGGAAGAAAGACAGAACCTGTTGGAGAACAATTGCAGCATCTACTAAGGTTTTACCAACACACTCCTGCATACGGTGAATTGTTTTAGCAAAATACTGCTGCATACAGTGTACGGTTTTAGCAATATACTGCTGCATACAGTGTATGGTTTTGGCAACAAACTGGTACTTACAGTGTATGGTTTTAGCAACACAATGCTACATACAGTGTGTGGTTTTAGCAATATACTGCTGCATGCAGTGTATGGTTTCAGCAAAATTCTGCTGCATACAGTGCATGGTTTTAGCAATATACTGCTGCATACAGTGCATGGTTTTAGCAACACACTGCTGCATACAGTGTATGGTTTCAGCAAAACTCTGCTGCATACGGTGTATGGTTTTAGCAATACACTGCTGCATACAGTGTACGATTTTAGCAATATACTGCTGCATACAGTGCATGGTTTTAGCAATATACTGCTGCATACAGTGCATGGTTTTAGCAACACACTGCTGCATACAGTGTATGGTTTTAGCAACACACTGCTGCATACAGTGTATGGTTTTAGCAATACACTGCTGCATACAGTGTACGGTTTTAGCAACACACTGCTGCATACAGTGTATGGTTTTAGCAACACACTGCTGCATACAGTGTATGGTTTTAGCAACACACTGCTACATACAGTGTATGGTTTTAGCAATATACTTATGCTTTGGCACATGTTTAACTCAGCTCAAAGTTGTGATAAAACGAACAGCAATTGTGTGAACTAAACATATAGTCCACATCTCAGGCAGATGCAATCTGACTTAAAAGGAAACATCCCTAACTAGTTTACTATTAATTATGATATTCCTGTTAGGGGCCAGTGGGTTTATTCTTGCCCCCCCCCCCCCCCCCCAAAAAAAAAAAACGGGACCGGAACTCAGACAGGAAAAGTATTTTTGTATACGTCTTTCCCACTGCTCTGTGCTCATTCAGTTTCTCCTAATGACACATCCTAACGAATCTTGACTAAGTTTCAAAGATAAAATACCTTAAACTAGAACAAAGCAATTGTTTTTCCTACTTTGAATAACTGTAGTCGAGCAATACGGCAGTAATTAACACACCTCCCCCCTCCTCTCCCCTTCCCCCATGTCACCTTTTCCCACTCCCTTGCCTCTCTACCCACAAAAATAACCAAATAATCTCCCTTCACAAATCCTCACACCAAACAAATCGTCATTCCAAACAGACTTAGGCCAACTTCCTAACACCAACCTAACGAATCCGCACCGCTTTTAACTCTAGCGTCGGCTTATAAACCCCCCCCCCCCTCACAGTAAGGTCGACAGAAAAACTACGGGGGGGGGGGGGGGGGGTATAAGAGCGTTGGAGAAGAACGTAGTTACCTGTCCGTCAAAAGCGAGTTAGCGGTTTACTGGCAGGTGGAGAGACAAACAGCTCAAAACCAGGTGCGTTCACATTTATGCTTAATCCGTCTTGACTTTTCAACCTTAAGCCTGCACGTTCCCCCTGATATACTGGGTATTTTCTATCTGGGACCAGGTAAGCCAATGGAGGGCCGCGGTCGAGGTAAGTGATAACGGCAGTGCCAAGTGATGGGTGGATTGAACTCTGATTAGGTTCTCTACCTGACTCGTTGCAGTGTATACAATTGGGGTTGATACCATCAAAGATAGCGAACAGCAGTCTCCGAATATACACACAGGATATGCTGGAGATAACTGCAGACAACATTCATGGCGCAGAAGGCTATTAAGTGAGGAGCAGTGTACTTAAAATGTGGGTACAGGTAGCGAACTCGGGCCCAGCACACTGTGATAAGTAACGAAGTCAGGGCCAGGACACAGTGAATGGACGTTCATTCGTGCGTCCTAACCTTGGAGACGCGTAAGTCTAAGTGGCAGAGATGTCAGGTTGGTGCGAGGTTGTATTGTGTCGACAGTCTTACCGGCGACCACGCGTGATCTATATTACAGGACGTGAACGGCTTTAACGACCCCATAACACATACAATAAGCCCAACACCCCCTCCACCTCACACACGCAGCCTAGGTCCCACGAGAGAGTGCATTCTATGCCCAGTGGTTTCAGACTTCTAAATATGCGTGTAGTTGGGACCGAGTCCGTTATCTGTTCCGAAAGTCTCTGGTTATGTAAAATGCCGTTAAGTGCGTTTATATGCACCCCTGATCTCACAAATAAGAGCGTATAAAGATTATGAGATGGGGGAGGTAAATAGCTTCCTTCTTCGCATAACCATCTTGCTTTGGACTTAAGGGCAGTTTCTTGTTCGAAAGGACATGAGATGTAAATTCAATCCTCCCTCGAAGTCGAAGTACAGCTGCCCATGAGGCAGGGAAATGAAAAACGGCTGTACACGCAAAAATCAGGTCCAGGTGAAAGCCAAAAGTCCAAGCGGACGATTAACCGGGACCTTCCACTGGAATTCACAGCCAGTGTTCGATATAATAAATTCAATCAATAAAATGGCATCTCTAAAATGGAAGTTGGCTTCAACGGACCTGCACCGCCGTCTTTTCTATAGCTCTCTCTGTATTGTCTCAGACTACTTTTCGGCACAACACATTTGATTTCAGCGAACTCCTTTCGAGTCGCCCATAACTACATATTTATTGAAGAAAATAAGTCTAACAACCCCTCCCACACCCCCTTCCCTGGACAAAATATAAGTAAAAGGCCCCGAAAAGCACTCGACATACGACACACAAACTGAAAGTTTCGATCAGGAAACAAAAGCGAAACATTTTTTTTTAAAACTGTGCTGACAACCAATTATATCCATCTATTCACACTAAAAACATGTCGTGTTGCTATTCTCTGCAGTAGGCTGTAGAACCAACACCAATTTGTTTTCTGTTTGTGAAAAAAAAAATCATTGTAATAGACAAACATAATAAAGAAAAAAAAATTTCTTTCTTGTGGATCTTTCGTTTACCAAGCGTTTATCACAACAGTTTGCCAGCTTCCTTTCTGACAAGAAAATTACCGGCAGTCAGAACAAGTTAGTGCTCGTCCCTCCCTGCTCGTGCACAAAGCTGATGTCGTGTCAGTCAACTTATTTCGTGGATATTCACTGGTCTGAATTACCTTTCATCGCCAATGTGCATTGCTCGTCCTCTAATGAAGGTTGGCTGCAGTACTTCCACTGCTGTCTTTGGAAGGCCCTAATCTTCCACGGATTCTCGTACCAATATACAAAAGCCATGTAAATAGTCATGGAAGGATGAGGAGGAGCAGTTAGAGGAAGAAGAATTAACGTTGCCGCAGGATCATCTTTCCCATGTCAGCAAGACTAGACCCCACTATAAAATGTTGCTGCACTCAGTTCACTCCTCCCGTAATTTCCTTGACATCACTTCCCCAATCTTATCTCCTTTAACACACGCCCCTACAGTCTTGTTAAGGTTGACATTTTAATTACCAGCTACTCCGGGTGGAACAACGAAGCTTTTTCACGGTGTCAGACTTCACCTTCACTGATTCCAGCGACACATGTCTTGACAAGGTCAGTGCAGTACACTACTGTGTTCCTCCATTGCGTGGCGGAACCTTACAGAACGTGCGGCTGGCAGCGCCGGGTCGCACTTCAATGTTAGGGGTTATAGTGAGATGTCTGTAAATAATTGCTGACACGTTTCCAAGCAAGCGAGGCGGTTTGCACAAG